CCCCTTCTGGCCTTTCCGAGCCCGAGCTCCAGGCCATCCGTGCGGTCATTATCCAGTCCGCCGAGAACGCCCGTTCTCTCCAGGACTTTTCCAAGTTCCTCCACGATCAGGATGATGCGCTCAACCGCATCACCGATCGTATGGACCAGGTCCTGGCTCGCCGTGAAGAGGATGTCCGCCAAGTTGTCGCCGCCAGTGTCCAGGAGGCCCTCCGCAGCTACCAGGCCCAGCTACCTCCTCCAGTTCCTGCTCCCGCTCCGATCCGTCGCGCAGGTCGCCCCTACTTCGGCGTACCTGACGACGTCGATGATCCTGCCCAAGACCCCGAGGATCACTCTGCTGGTCGCAACTCTGCCACCAGGCAGATAGGTCCTCCCGACCGCTTCTCTGGTAAGGACCCGAGCCGCTGCAATGCCTTCCTCTCGCATTGCAGACTGGCCTTCGTGTCCAACCCTCCCCTCTTCCAGACTGAAAGGGATAAGGTGTTTTACGCCTTATCCTATCTCGATGGTACTGCTGCAGACTACATGCAGCCGTACATCGATCAGTTGGAGAGAGACCCCGAGTGCTCTCCCCCTGCCATCCGTGACTTTGCCGGTTTCTCCGAGTGGCTCCGTGCTGCCTTTGGCCAGGTCCAGCCCACCATCGCCGCTGCTCGCGAGATGGTCAGGCTTTACCAAGTCACCTCCGCCGCCGCCTATGCCGCCGAGTACCGCCGCCAAGCCGTCCACCTCGTCACTTGGTCCCAAGACCCTCTCATGTTCCACTTCGAGAGTGGACTCAAGCCCTCGGTTCAAGATGAACTCTCCCGCCGCTCCTTCGACAACCTCGAAGATCTCATGCAAGCGGCGATCGCCATCGACAACCGCCAGGAGGACCAACGCTCCCGCCGTCCCAACCACCGCTCCGCTCCTGCTCCTGCTCCTGCTCGTCCGGCTCCTCTCCCTTTCCGTCCGGCTCCTCGTCCCTTCGCTCCTGCTCCTCCTCCTCGCCCCGCTCAAGCCTTCAACGTTCCCCAGCCCATGGACCTCAGCCAGGCTTCCGCTCGCAGGCTGACCGCCGAGGACAAGGCCGCCCTCCGTGCTGCTAATCGTTGCTTTTATTGCAAGCAGGAAGGGCACATTGCCCCTCGCTGCCCCAATAAGGCATCCTCCCGCTTGGCTGCCATCGATGCTTCTTTGGCTGTCGTTGATGTGAATAAACTTGACGACCAGGAAAACTTCTCTGCCTAGAAAAGGTCGGAGGAGCTTTCCTAGGCGTCAATCATGTCATAAATCTTCCTCCTGTAAATGTCTCCACGGTAAATCACTCTTCTGCCTTTTGCCATCTTGCCCCCGTCACCATTGCCACCGTTTCCACCGCTCTTGCTTCTTCGTCTTCGCCTCCCGAGCCTGACATCCAACGTCAGCCCTCCCTCGCTGTGACTCTGCTGTGCGGTCCAGAGTCCATACGGGCAACCGCCATGATCGATACCGGCGCGGTTACTTCGTTTATGGACACTGGATTCGCCGCAACCCACGCTCTCCCCACCTTTGAAACTTCTTTCGTCATCACTCTTGCCGATGGTTCTTCGATGGAGTCTAGTCTTGGAGTTTGTGTTTCTATGATCACAGGCATCAGCCACTATGAACAAATCTCGTTCGCGCTGATTCCCTTGGCTTCATACCCGATCATCTTGGGTATGGATTGGATCAAGAAACACAAACCCTACTTTGACTGGCACCATGACTCTATTTTCTTGCCTTGCACCTCTATCCACAGTTTGGCCTCCCCGTTCTCTCCCGAGCCACAGTCCTCTAGGTCCAGCCCTGCCGAGTCCCCTGCTGAGGTCCCCGCCGAGCCTGCCGTGTCCCTGCCCGAGTCCAAGATTGTTCCTGCCAAGTCCCCAGCCGAGTCCCCAGCCGAGCCCGAGATCCTCCCTGCCTTGCCTCCTGCCGTGCCCAAGCCCAGTCCTGCCTTGCCTCCTGCCGTCCCAAAGACCAAGACCAAGACCCAGTCCCTGCCCAGCGTCAGCCTGATCGGCAGCATCCCCTTCCAGCACGCCGTCCAGAAGGAAGGCCTGGAAGTGTTCCTCTTGGATGCTGCCCGAGTCCTGTCCCTCTGCTCCGTCGACGCTGGAGCCAAGCCCAAGGCCGAGCCCTCTGTCCCCTCCAAGTACTCGTCCTTTGCCAAGGTGTTTTCCAAGTCCGAGGCCGACAAGCTCCCCCAGCACCGCCCTTACGACCACACGATCCCGTTGGTCGAAGGTGCGTCTCCGTCGTTTGGGCCCGTCTACAACCTCTCCAAGCCGGAGATGGACGCCCTCCACACCTACATCCAAGAGAACCTCTCCAAGGGTTTCATCCGCCGTTCCGAGTCCCCTGCCAGTGCCCCAGTTCGCCGAGTTCGTTTAAGGTGTCTGCATACCAGTCTGGAGGTTGCCGGTTCGAAACCGATGCTGACACTGAATTTCGGAAAAGCCCGAGCTGGGGTGCCGTTCATGTTCCAGTCCTATCGAGCCATTATGGCTGACCTATAAGGGGGAGATAGTGTCATGAACCGAGTTTCCTTGCCTTGTATCTTGCCTAGTTATCTTGCCTTGTCCTTGAAATGAACTTTGTATTTTTAGTATCCTAAGCCTTGGATCTAGAATAAAACTTTGGCTTCACACTTGACACTCTGTGTCCCAGTCCAGTCCCCGCTCCTCTCCCTACGTTCGAGTCTTGCATTAGGACTCTTGCGCGCTTCCCTGCTTGCCCCGTTGTCCAGTCTTGACACTATGCCAGAGCTGAGAGTGTCCGCCGGTCCAGAGGCAAGGCGAAGCTGTCCGCACATCACTGCTTCCCCAGTACTTACCAAAGGCACCTTACCAATGTCTTCACTTTCGGAAGGCGGTGGGCACGGCTCCGGTTCAAGGCCTTCACTTAGAACCGGGCCTGGTCGTTTCCCGAACTGAAGTCTTGCACTTCTCCATCTTCGTAAACGATGGTGCGGATGATCCTCGGGCCGGGAGGTCCAGGGGGCGGTCCGGTAGCTCTAGCTCTGGTAGATCCAAACTTGACGGGGCAGTTTCGTACCAAGTGGCCCTTCTTGCCACAGTACAGGCAGAGTCCAAAGCGGCGGCGGCGTTGTTTCTCCTCGGCGGTCAGGGGTCCAGAGACGGCAGAGTCCACTTGCATGGGCTCGGAAACAATGTAGGAGGGGTGCGGCGGAGCGAGGACGGGCGCGGGAGCGATGGCGGGAACGGCAGCGGAGGCGGAACCAAAGGCGAACTGGGAAGACCGGTAGCGGGCAGGCGTGCTTCGGCGCTCTTGACGGCGCTCGCGGATTCGTGCATCGAGCTCGTTACAAAGCTCGATGTACTCCTCCAGATCTCGTGGCAGAGGGCGAACTCGCGAAAGTTCGTCTCTGACATCATCCGACAAGCCAAGTCGGAAGAACGAGATCTTTGCACCGTCGTTCCAAGTCGTATCGGCGGCAATACGAAGGAACTCGGATGCATAGACTGCGCACGGGCGGTTGCCCTGAGACAGTGTGGTGATCACTGACTCGGCAGTCCTGGCCCGATCAGGGTCGTCACACACTTTAGAAAAGCGTTCTAGGAAATCGCCAAAAGAGTTGAGTCGGGGATCACCCATCTCAAGCATCGGAGTCGCCCACTGGAGAGCCGGTCCAGTGAGCAGACTAATGACGAATCCGACCTTAATCGGGTCAGCAGGGAACCGGTGGGGCTGCATTCGTATATACAGTTTGCACTGATTTACGAATGCCCGGAACCCTTGCCGGTTACCGTCGTAACGGTCCGGCATCTGCACGCTGTACCCAGCGGCAGGAGCATCGCGAGCTGTCCGGAGCTCGGCGAGCTCGGCCTCCAAGGCACGGAGGCGGTCCACGAGGGCAGGATCCATGGCGGGACTGGGACTGGGACTGGGAAAAAAAAGCGAGGAGGTTCAAGAACAGGAGAGCGAAGAGGGCTCAGGCACAAGTGTGCTTGAGGTTCGGACAGGACTAGGAAAGGGGCGGGGCTAGGAGCGGAAGATACCAAGCAGGTGGTATCAGTAGAAGAGAGTTCGAACAAAGTGTGAGGAGTGAACCAGCGCAAGGACGAAGACCAAGTGCTTGGTATGAGCTTTATTAGCTTTTAGCCCCGAACACCAAAGAACAAGTTTTGTTCGAACTGGTGTTCAACATAGGCTCAGACATGCAGGGCTATTTATAGACCGGGAGAAGGTCGAGGGGCAAAAGTGGGCGAGAAGGGTGGAGCATCACAGAGAAGCGAGAAGGGGGTGCGAGAGTGGCTGGTGTGCAAGCGAGAGAGGCTTGGCACAGCCCGGGGACATGTGCCGAGCGGTGGGGGAGGCAGGAAACCAGTAGACGCGGGTGGCAACGGCGCGTGCTCATGCATGGGGGCAAACAAACACGTGGGGACTCATGATTGGTGCGGAGGGCGAGAGCATGCGGGACAATCTCATTGGTCCGTTGTGATGCTGGTCATCACAAAGACAGAGGCTGGTCGGAGGGCTATTTATGCGAGCGCCAAGGATCGACGCTGCAGAGCGAGGGGGCAGGAGCGAAGCAGCGGCGGGGAGGGCGAAGCAGCGAGCGAAGCAGGTGGCGGCCGTGACTCGGGATCCGTGAGTCAGCGGGCGTCAGTGGCGGCGGCATGGCGGCGCCAAGGCGTCAGGCGGCGTCGAGGCGGCGTCGTGGGCGTAACCCATGACCAACAGCAAGGAAGCGGGAACGGAACACAGACAGCGCGCGTGTTGGCGGTAAGACAACAAGGCAGCACAGCGCGGGAAACAAACAAACAGAAGGAAGGGAAAGCACTAAGGCAGGCAAACAGAAAGGAAAGGGCAAGGGTAAAGGAAGGAAGAGGGCAAAGGCAGAGGGTGTTCATGACAGCCGTCTGGAAACCTGATGCTGCTTGACCCCGAGATATTGGTGCTTCCCGAACTTGTTTCTTTGGACGACCCCTGGGTCTCTTGGGCGTAACGACTGCACTATCCGAAACCGCTGGTAGTTTAGATGATACTTGACTGGGGGGGACTGGGTCTTCCATAGTCGCTGGTGGAACTTGTTTCCTCGGACGACCCCTGGGTCTCGTCGATGTCGCATCTGCTGTCCTTGGGGTCGTTAACGCGGAGACTACCCTCTTTGGTGTTGCTGTCGATCCGGTAGAACGACGCCGTTTGGGTTCTTCTTGCCTCTCCTGGGAAGCCTTTCTGATCATTGACGCCTTTGAAACACGAGAAGAAGAACCAGCTTCGAGCTCGGGGGACTCTTCGCGTGAGTCTTGGTCGTCCGACGTATCGTCGACTCCTTCGACCCTTGCCCTTTTAGCTGGTGGCTGGGGGGTCGGTGTTTCGTCTTGAGGCGATGAACTGGCGTAATTTTGGTTCATATATGCTTCCATGCGGCGAAAAACTTGATCGGCTGTCGGCCGGGCCTTCGGGTCGGTCGAGACACACTCCAGAAGGAGCTCCTTGACGGGCGCTGGTGTCGACTCTGGTACGATCGGAGAATTGCCGGCGGTGTGTTGATCGCGGAGGTCGTCGATCGTCGTGATTTCAATGCCCCAAATATTCCCAAAGTCCGAGAGGATTTCGATACACGCAATCCCGTATGCATATATATCAGTGTTGAAGTTGGGTGTCGCACGTTGAGTGGTGCGTTCCGGGGCGAAGTAGGTAAACGTGCCATACTCGATTTCATCCTCGGGGAGTGGGATTTGTTCGCGTCCGTCGAACCCCTCCTCCAAGGCCAGAGAATTTGAGAAATCATTGAGTCGAACCGACTCAAGGTCATCGAGTAGGAAGCTGTTTGGCTTGACGTCGACAAAGACACATCGCTTCTCGTGTATGTGTACCAGTCCTTCTGTGTCAGGAACGAGGCGTGGGAAACAGGTGTCAGCAGACCGAGTGGGTTCTTGACGGTGCAGACAAGGCGTGGGAATCGGAACGAGGGCAAGAACAAGGAGCAGGGGCAGGGAGCAAGGGTAAGGTACGAGAGAGTGATGATCTTATATTCAGAAAGGTGATAAGATAATTCACTGGGTGTGATTTCCTTCTGGCCCCTGAGCTCCTCTATTTATACCTCGACCATCTAATCTATCATGTCATCGCT